AAGGGGGTAGGGAATGCTTTCTGTCAATGAGGGTCTTCACAAAGATAGAAGTGCAGGGATGTGTGTGTCTGAAATAATTCTGAAAAATTTAAAAACATCACCTCCTTCCTGTTTTCAGGCGATGACGAGCTGTCCAGCCCCTCCCAAGATGCATCTGGGTTGGAGGAAGTGATGGAACAGCTCAATAATTCTTTTCCTCATAGCCAGGGTACTGACCACCGACACCTACACAATATCCACCTGTTTAAAATCATATTTAGATGAAATTATTACAATTTCTGAAAGGATAAAAAAAGGTTTATTTAAGTGAGGCTTTACTTAAGGCATTTAACTTGAACATGAACATCACATTATATCCAGTTGTCATGTCCTAAAATAACATCAGTAACGATGCAGATATGGACAAAATTAGAATTATGTCAATGAATGTTGCCCTGCTGCATGCTGGGAGGTTTCCCTATACGTTTACCTCAGGATGCCGCAGTATGAAATCACTGTTGTTGGTTCCAATAAGAACTTTTAATATTTGTCCTCGTCCAACAACTTAGATTAATCCAAATAAGAAATACAACTTCAGTCAAAGTAAAGATTTGGGACAAACCATGAACTGTAAATAGGAAGTGGACGTAGCTACCATGACGCCATCCATTGGTTTGTGAACTACGGTTTTGTTCCCTTAAGTTTGGCATCTTAGCTGTCGCCATCTTAGCTTTTTGGAACCAGAAGGGAGCATATGTGGACGAGAGCAACAACAGTGTAGCAGTGTTATAGTCGTGTGTATGATTTGGCCAGAGGTGATATATTATAGACTACTTAGTCTTTTAGCACAACGCTAACGCTAAACATTCCTGTGGTTTGTCAATCACATGGTAGCCACGCCCTGAAACCTACCCTGCTTTATGGCCTGTTTGACTCTGAATGGACCATAATGTACTAAATGAACATCATGCTGTATGGAAGAAGACTTGAAACTAGAGACTGAGACCATAAACTCATGTTTACAATGTTTACTGAGGTAATAAATCAAGAGAGAAGTAGAGTCACTTTCTCATAGACTTCTATACAGTTGGACTTTAAGGCACTTGCGCATTGGCTTTCCGTTTTCAGACTCTGAGGTTTATGCTATGGGAATACAAATTACACTGAATGACCACGATAAACCACGAATACTTTTTCCCTCCAATCAAATGCACACACTGAACTTCATTACACCTGTAAGCCTTAAGTAAATCCTAACTTGCTTAGTCTTTCATTCTCTCCATTACCAACACCGGGCTGATTTCTTTCTTTCTCTCTATTTCCTCCTTTCTCTTCCTTTTCCTCTTTGTCTCCATGAGCCAGCAGGGAGAAGGGGACGCCCATGACAGGTAAGTGGCTCAACTTGACCCCCCCACCCCCCTTTTTTTTTTTTTTGTTCTCATCTCATTTCCCCACCTCTAAGGAGTACATCAACTTCATGCAGGCACCATGTTTGTACCACTTCTGGTCGTGATAGAAATCTCACAATTGGCTAAATAAATGGGATTGACTTTTGGCTGCTGTAGCAGGTAGAATTGTGCACAAAACGCACAACAGAGTGGAAGCGCCATGGTGCGGTGATGCAGTGTCCTCCCTCCCTTTCCCTGTGTTTAATTTCCTTTTCTGCTGTTTACTACTCTGCCACTTTCTTTGTGCTCTCATTTGAGCTCCATTGAGAAAACGAGCATTTTAAAAGTTCAATCTGACTATTTGTGAGTGTGTTTCATGTAAGCATTGCCTCTCTCCCCCCCCCCCCCCCCCCCAGGTCCCCGTATTGGCCGTTTGTTCCACATGGCCGATGATCTGGGCCGTGCCATGGAGTCACTGGTCAGCGTGATGACAGACGAGCAGAGCGCCGAACAGCACGAGGCCCTGCCCTTCTGATCTCTCTCCCCCCCCCCTCCTCCAACCCTTCATCCCCTCGTCCTCCCTCCCTAACGCATGCTTTTCTAGTCATATCAACTGGATCGGAAACACAGTTTACAAAGAGAATATATAACGTCTATTTTTGTGAAGGATTGCGGTTCCAGCAATGACGCGAAAAAACCCAACAAAAGAAAAAGTTTCAGTAGTTTCTTAAAACGTCCTGAAGTTGTTTTATTAATAACAGAGGCTGGTTTTTAATCTTCTATGCAATGTATAAAACAAGTATGGGATGGATAAGGAGGGGGGGGGGGCAAAGAGAGATGAGATACAAATAGGTGTGTTCATCGTGGTCGGATATTTGCCATCTCTTTGTAATTGCGGAAACAGCTAAAGCATTTCAAACATTTGTATCAAAAAAAAAAAAGTGATTGTAATCAAGAGGGTGCTTTCTAAGAGGAACATTTCTACAACAGCGTACACTACTGTCAAGGTAATGCAGGCATCCTGGATCTTTACAGTACGTTGTCTGTGTGTTTGTGTGTGTGTGTGTGTGTTTGTGTGGTCGTGCCTAATTTCCACATTACACTACGGCTTTTTTTTTGTTTTTGTTTTTGTTTTGGCTGACAAACCTCAAGTTGTATTTGAATTATTGTTTTCTATCCACTCATCCGTCCATCTATCCGTCATCCCTGTGATTCACATCTCTACGGCAGCACTTTTTTAAAGCCCGTATTTGTTTTCAACAGTGTGCGGTGTGCATAAACGGGCTGTACCAGGTCAAACCTAATGCACATATGGGAAGTAATTTGGAGACCATTTGCCAATAATTGAACTACATAGTTGTAGAGACTGTAATCTTTTCTTTTCTCAAGTAGTCCAGGGGGAAACTCCTCTTGGTGTTGGTTTTTCTTCGTGGTATTTCTTCGGGTAAAGTTTTAAAAACACTGGATCCTACATTTCCCAAGATGCAACTTTGTAGCGTCTACCAACCGGCGCTCCTCCTGGTCTGTTCAATCTCTTCAGTCAGCATCACTGATGGGTGTTCTGTTGCACCTTTAACCACACCGACTATGTTTATGCACCAAATATTCAGTTTTTGCCCAATATTCCTAATAAGCTGTTTACATGGCTAATGAATATGAATATTCCACTAATATTCCTGTGAATAATATCGACATATTCCACATGTCTGAATCAGAATTTAGAATAATGACTTCATATCCAAACATAAAATATGTTTACATATCGAATTTGGAATATTGTCATATTCTGAATAATAGTGGAATATGAGCATGTAGACATAGTCAGTTATGTGTGAAAGTGTACATCTTAAGTAAGGATTTGATGAAAGTCTCTTTAGGGCCTGTTGAGTACACACAGTACACTGTGTACAGAAGTACTGTGAGAGGAACTGAGAAGAATGTGATTGTCACAGGGCTGCTGGTCGAGATTATTTTTGAGGGAATTCTTCTGTTAGAGTGCTGACGGAGAACTCTTTCAGGAAGCCCGGTAACGCGAGCTCTACCTCGTCTGACTCGGCCATTCCCTCCACCGTGCTCCACCCCGCACTCCCTCCGCTTGTTGATTCACGGAGCCGCCAACCCGAATGTTTAGATGCATTCACTGCATCGCTCGCCTCCACCAGAGATTCATGACTCGAGTATTAAAAACACCGTTCAGATGAATCTGTGTGCACTACTGTCATACCTGGGTCATGCTAGATATCCGTTTTCTGTGTGGGGGTTGCGTTTATTCTAGCAGTGTCTTTTTTGTCTTTGGCTAAAAGGCTATTTTGTTTTGTGCCGTGTGAGGTGTTATATTAGCATGTGACTAAACGAACTCCAATCTTTATTTAATGTATAACCACTCCGAGGAGCCCATGGCGAGCATCGTTTGTTTTACAGCATCATATTCTTGCAGCATTTTCTTTTCTTTTGAACCCAGACACTGGATTTGATTGGTTTTTGTTGTTTTTCATTTCTAATGTTTCATTCTCACATCATTTTTTTTCAAATAACGCATCAATACTTCACAACATATCAGATTCCACCAAATATATGCCTTACTACTGTATTATAAAATGCTTTACTGTATGTCAATAAAGCACGCAGTTCTGTTGATTTGACTTGCCTCTTTGATTTGTTTATTTTTAACAAAAGCACAAAAAAGAAATGTGCACCTTACACACTTGTGTGCATCTAAAAAAATGTGTCGCATCCTCGTCGCCCCGATGAAAAAGATTTTTAATCATTTTCAACTTTCCAAAAAGAGGAAAGTTGAAGAGTCTAGAATGCAGCCGTATAACGACACACAGCAGCAGGAGAGACAGACGGATACAAATGAAGGGAAAAAATACCTTTGGTTCCTAAAAAGGAGACCTTGGGCTAGACGTACAGTATTATCTCAGGTGGAGTTCAAATATAAACATTTAGAAAATTAAGAATTTGTTAGGAAAATATATTTATTTTTAGAAAGAACAGGGAAGTTGATAAAGTTAAGGACAAAGGTAGAGGGTAGGCTGCTGCAACAGGGTATTTTTGCATCTTATCTTCCGTAGTATTTGCAACAAGGGCACGAAATAATATAAATAACGCCTCTTGTGGTGCAAGAGATGACCCTTAATGTGGACTTTCCTACTGCTGCATTGTGCAGGAGCTTTCTGTCTGTACAGACATCACTTCAAATGGTTCTTGTGTAGAGGATGATAGACCCTGCACGTAAGTACAGTACATAAAGTATGTTCGGTCAAGTACATTATGCAAAGTACGTTTGGTAGAGTACATGACGTAATGTAATGCATGTGACAGAGTACTTAACTTATGTACATAATGTAGGTTTATGTAGGGAGGTTTAACCCGAACCATTGTGTTTTCCTAGACCTAGCCAAATAGTTTTTAGCCTAAACCTAAGTGGCGCCAAGGGGTACCCAACGCGTTACAAAGTGACACCAAAGGGTCCTGACCAAGCATCCATATGCAGGGTCTTCTGTCTGTCCCACGCACACGCCTTAATAAGACCCGTGGTGACCGAGCTTTTGAGGCAGTAGCACCGAGGCTGTGGGATGCTCTGCCTGCACCTCTACGCCTCGCAGACTCTGAACACTTTTAGAAACCAGCTCAAAACGCACCTCTTTAGACTGGCGTTTGGGTAAAACCCATGTCCTAGACCTGCTTTTAAACTATGTTTTAATTTTGTATGTTTTCTGTGTGTATGTAAATTATTGGCCCCATGGTCACATTGTGATTTTTATGCTTGTAATTTCTGCCCTGTTAAGCACTTTGACTTTTGTCTGTGAAAAGCGCTTTATAAATAAATTTGACTTATTTACTTACTTGTGACAGAGTTCTACTCTACTGGCGTTTTGGCCTAACGCTCCACATTCCTCTCCACATTCCTATCAAAGTGTATCGGAAGGACCTCATCCTGTACGCATAGAGGATTGGGTTGAGGGCCGAGTTGGCGTGGGAAAGCACAATGGCCGCTAGTGTGAGTGACATGGGCACGTCACACTGTGGGCAGAACAGTAGAACGCAGTTGATGAGGTGGATGGGCATCCAGCATACCATGAAGAGAAACAGGACCAGGAAGAGGGAGGTGGCCTTGCGCATCTCCTGACGGGTGCGAAGGTTGGATTTGGCCTCGTTGGACTCTCTGGGAGGGGGGTCAGCAGGAGCAGAGCCAGCTGAGGCGATCCTGAACCCTGGCTTTGTAAAGACAGTGGTAGTCTCGGTTTCAATGAGAGACCCAATCCCGGACTCTACTTCTTCCCCAGCCCTCACTTCACCCTCACATTTCCGTGCCTCATCTCTGGCTTGTCTGCCTGTTACGATATCTGCTCCCCCTCCCGTGGTTCCCCCAGCAAAAGAATTTCCAATGTCATCTGTCCCGGTGCTCCCGCTGTCCTTTGTGGTCCCCCTGGCCACAGCGATGCGTCGGAGCTGGCGGCGGATGGTGAGGAAGATGTGGCCGTAGATGGCGAACATGGCCACCAGCGGCACCACGAGGCAGCAGAAGAAGTTGAAGTACACCATGTAGTTCATGTCCACCACACAAGTGAAGATACAGTAGCTGGAATAACAGGGACCAAAATGAAAGAGTTTATGGTGACAATACTGCAGGCAAATGAAAATGGCATGCGACATATATCTTCATCCATCCATCTCATTCTCTTACTCTGAGTTTGCTGGTTGTCTCATCCAGTCCATGAGCGGCACAGTGCCGGAGATGGCTCCCAGGCCCCAGGTGACCAGCAGGGCCAGCTGGGCGTTCCTGGGGCTCATGACACGCTGGTACTGGAAGGGCAGAAGGATGGCCATGTAACGCTCTGCTGCTACCGCTACCAGACTCAGGATGGAGCTCTGGAAGAGAAAGCAGACCATACACAGAGTCTTAAGCATGATGGGGAAATATATTAGTTCCTTGGCGTAAACACAAAATAAAAGAAACCTTCGTAGGTCGAAGGTTTGATCAATTCTGTATTAAGGGACATTATAGGTGGCGCTCTTGGCCTGCAGGATTCCAACCGGCAATCGACCCCCAAAGCCACCAGGTTAGATGCTCCTACCTGTGTGAGCACCATCAGGATGCTGAGCAGCACCAGGCAGAGGGGCAGGTCATGGTGAGGTCGACCCAGGTCTGTCAGCACTGCGCAGGGAATGGCCACCAAGCCCACCAGGATATCCGCCACTGACAATGATACCTTCACAGAGTAAAACACACTTTTGGTCCTTTAGATATCTGCTCGTAGTTTTCCTCAAACCACAGGTTCGTATGTCACATTTTAGATGGGGTCGAAACAGGTTTCCTCACCAGGAAGTAATTGGTGACAGTGCGGAGTTTTCTGTTGCGGCTGACAGCCAGACAGACCAGGAAGTTGCCGATGATGGCCAGCACTGCGATGACGAGCTCGGTGGCGATGTAAAGCCCCCTCATGCGGGGTTGGTATCCGTACGGCATCTCTGCCTTACAGCTGCCCGGAGTCACGTTCATGACGGGAGAGAGACAGAGACTCCACAGTCATGGAAAACCTGGAGATAAGGAAAGAAAAGGAAACAAAACTTGAAAAAATAAGCGTTTTAACTATTTGTAAAGAAAGACTAATGCAAGAAGAGTACAAATCTCCCACTTCCTTTATGTATTATTTGTTTCCATAGTGATTACACAGACTGAGGAGGAGCAGAAAACACATGAATGGAGAGAGGAACAGTGGTTGTTAGAAGCGCAGCATGTGGCCTTTGTGCTGACCAACTGACCGGTGAAATTTGTTCCTGGAAAGGGACAAAAACAATGACTGACACACACACACACACACACACACACACACACACTCTCGCAGACCCGAAGTGTTCACTATTTACACACACTGATAGGGATTCAAACCTGCTGCTCGTTACCGTGCCCACATGTCAACAGATGGATTGTAAATGAAGGGCAACAGTTTCAAATCAGCCGTACGTAACTTATTAGAGACTTGACACAAATGATTGCTGTGCTTATGTTATGGTTATTATAGTTTTGTTTGAATCCTCCCCTTGACATGGAAGATTTGCAACACACTCACCCTAATTCTCAGCTCTACCCTGATTTCATAGGCCACAGTGCGTGCACTCCTCCGTGGACTCAAAGACCTCTTCAGACAATTTAAGGCATCACCTTGTAAACGGTGTTGGGAATTTTTCCCTATTCAAAAAAATAATTGTAAGTTGCAAGACCAAACCGAGACAAATTCCTTCATGAGTATTTTTTTTGGTGGATTAAGTACTTCAGGTTTGGAGTATGCGGTGTACTCACCTGCGCTACAGACTTCAGGTGCAGTCGTCACAAAGTTTAAACGGTCCAGACCATCCAGGACACCAACACAATGTGAGCTTGATGGAGAAGCATCAGAGTCCACTGATGTGCAGGACACCCTGAAGGGGGAGCCGGGAAAGAAGCACCGTGTGCCGGGGTGAAACCACACCCTCCTCCACTCTTCCCTCCATCCCTCTCTCTCTCTATATATATATAAAAAGATAACGCAGAATACGTCAATCACGAGCATGTTGACTGAACAGCAGCACTATCTAGGTCTCTGTGAGATGGAAAAGCAGACATGTTTTGACGTAAATCTCCAGCCGGTTCAGAACAATTCAAACACGTCGTATGAAATGTTCAATTATGTACGCTCGAGCTACGCTTTCGTGTGGTAAAAATACTTTGTGATATTTCAGCGAAGTACAATGAATGAGGAAGCCAAACATGTTGTGCAAAGAATACGTGGTGTGCAGCTTAAATAAGAAACAAGTGCATGAGTTGGAAATGATATCTATGAATTATAAAGAAACATGCAGTACAGTTATTAGTGAAACGTTTTTAGAATATCTAGAATAAAAGTACACAATGCAGGAAAATGCACCCTGTAAGTAATACACAATGATATACCGTATTACTAGATTATCATCACTGATGTGTAAGTATAGTTGTATTGTTGTAGTTAGCCTACTATACTGCTAGACAGTGTAATCTACACTCAAACAAAGTACAAGTACCTCAAATCTGTACTTGAGTAAATTTACTTAGTTACATTCCACTTCTGTTTGTATATATGTGACTTTCTGGTGAAAAGGGAAGTTTTTAAGGAACAAAAGGTTTAAGGTATGACAAAGATAAATAGCTTATAACTAAGTGAACAATGAATTAATCGATAAACGTGGTTATTCAAAGGTAATCCACAGACATTCATAAATAAAAATGTAAACATATGACTATCTTTATTTCCATTATATAATGACATTTGGTTGGAAATATTTCAACACTATTGATGCGCAGATGAAGGCCCAAAATACGGTTGTCGTTCCCGCTTTTCACCGCTGGGTGCCGCCAAAACACTTGTGTGTTTGGCGTTATCAAACGACGATAATAGAGGAACTGGTTACGTTTAAGCCCTCCTGAATATAATTAAATATCACTAACAGTTTAATGACTGGATAGTTATTGACAATAAAGGTACGCTAAATAATCAAATGCATGTAGAATGCTACCGGCTTGGCACCGATGTGAGTTCCGTGACGCCAACCCGGAAGTATTTGCGTGTCACGTGACTGCAGTTGAAGATGCTGGCGATTTGTTGTCAGCGGCTCTTGAAGCGCTGCAGTCGGTTACGAGGATGTGTTCCGCTATTAACAGTTACTGTTTTGTTGCAGCGTGATATGATGCATTTTGTGCCCGTCAGTCACAGACACATAACGGAGTAACGGTAACAGGGAAAAGATGTCCGGTTTCAGCTCGGAGCTCATAGACTACCTGGAGGGGAGGATAACTTTTGAGGAGTTTGACCAGCGGAGGGATGAGCGCAAAGCCAAGGTGAAGCACAAGTTATGATTATAATAACTGATAGCTGAGCGAGTTAGCTACACCAGCTAAAACCCACAGCACAGAAGCAGAGCTAAGTTAGCATAGCCAAAGTATCTAGCTGAATCAGCAGTATAACCTTTTACATCGCTACACACGTTTGTTAGACTTAACTTCGACACTTTTCAATGAACTGTTTTAACAGTCCAACAGTATACTTAACTAACAATGTGCATTGTTTGCTGTTTAGGTAACATAAAATTGATATTTTCTTTCCTCCAAATTATGGATATCAAAGCTAGTTAGCTACACCGGCTGAACCCCACAGCCCAGAAGCGGAGCTAAGTTAGCATAGCAGCATCAGCCTTTACACCTGTCGTTGGTTTAACGTGAGCTACATTCGTGTAATAGACTCTACAACGACAATATGGTTGGGTTTAGAATGAAACGTCTGCTTGTCGTTTAGGTCGCGTTAACACGAAGTCTAACGCTGTATGTTCTCTCCTCTCTCAGGAGTCGGAGGTATCAGCTGAACCTGTGGAGGAGGATGCTGCTCAGCCCTCTACATCTGCACACGTCCCGGGGACCATCGGTAAATCTTCTTCTTCTTCTTCTTTCACTTTAATGGTGGACTACAAACCAACGTTTAAGGTGCATGCCGCCACCTACTGGACCGAAGTGTGTAACATCATGACTTTATGACAGTTATCATTTAAACACAATAATAATGTTTTTTATAAATAAATAAATACAAATAAAAAAATAAAACAAAGATAAACTTCATATAGAAGTTATATTCTGGATATTAAACCCATTCCATTAAAGAAATGCTCCCAATAATAATCAAAGGTGACTCCTCATCTGTTTTTTTTTGTCAGCTGGAAAGTAAGAAGACACGGTTTAGAGAATTGATGAAAAATAAAATATTATAATTATATTATTTTATTACTTATTAGTGTTGATGACATCTTGACAATACTCTCCCCTCCTATCAGAGGAGGGAGTCAGCCCGGGGGTCCAGCAGGCCTTTGCCTCCATGCTGGGAGACAAGCCGGAACCACCGTCTTCAGACGAGCAGCAGGAGGAGGGAGAGGAGGACGGCTTTAGCTACGTGGATGATGAAGAGGATGAGGACTACAAGGCGGAGGAAGAGCAAAAAGTGAGGCTGGAGATGGAGGAGACGGAGAAGAGGCGGAAGCGGCGGGGGAAAGGAGGAAGAGGACGGAGGAACAGGAAACAGAGAGAGCTGGAGGAAGAGGAGGACGCGGAGGAGGATCCGACGGTGGGGGACGTGTTTGCGCTGGAGATGGAGCTGAACAGAGAAAACAAGAAGATGATGAGGGTGAGGAGGAGAGTGTGTTAGTGTGTTTCCCAGCTCTTAATGTGGGTTAGTTTGTGACTTTGTGTGTGTGTCCAGGAGCGGCGGCAACGCAGCAAGCTGCCCCGAGCTCTGAGAGGCTTGATGGGAGAAGCCAACATCCGCTACGCTAGAGGAGAGAAAGAGGACGCCGTCTTGATGTGTATGGAGATCATAAGACAGGGTATGAAACAAACTTTTTGGAGTTATTAGTTTTTATATTTATCAATTAGCTAAATGAATCGTCTTCCCCTTCTCTTCCAGCTCCTTTGGCCTATGAGCCTTTCTCCACATTGGCCATGATCTACGAGGACGATGAAGACATGGACAAGGCGCTGCAGTTTGGTCTGATCGCCGCCCACCTGAACCCTTCAGACTGTGAGGAGTGGATCCGACTGGCAGAAATGTCTCTGGAGCAGGACAACATCCGACAGGCCATTGTGTGCTACTCAAAAGGTCAGCCCGACACTCAAAAGTCCAAGATTCAAAGATACGATGGATCCATTGGTATGCAAACCGTTATTTTCTGTGTGAAAATAGTTCTTTGCATTACTCCCGTTCCCTCTTGTCCCCTACCACCGCAGCCATCAAGTACGACCCCACTAACGTGCGCTACGTGTGGGAGCGCTCCAGCCTCCACATGCGCCTGGGCGAGCACAGGCAGTGCATGGACGGCTACCGCAGGATCCTATCACTGCTGCCCATGGAGGACGGAGAGCACTTCATGCAGCTCTCCAAAGACATGGCCAAGTACAGCACACACTAGCCAGACCAGGTCCACACATACTGTGCATCCAAATATGCTGGGCCTAACACTGTGTGTGTGTGTGTGTGTGTGTGTGTGTGTGTGTGTGTGTGTGTGT